TCACACATTTGTTACATTTTAGCAAGGGAAAGTGGGCCTTAATCCAGGCTCTTTGAGGCATGGACGATGATATTACTGTGGAGAATCGGCCTTTTAAAAGACTTCTTTTAACTCCAGCTGGTGCTGTAAGGTCACCAAGCACTTGTTCGACGTCGGGCCCAGCAGGATGCTTCTGGGCTCAGGACTAACTGGCTTTGTGGACTCCTGGCCGGGCTTTCTGGGCTTTTGACAGGGGCTGGCAATGCTGCTGCAATAGGGGAAAGACTGTAAAGGAAGACCTCTTCCACATGTTCTCCAAGTCTGTGAGAAAATAATTTTTTGCCGGACATTTCTAGTAGCCTGCTTCCTGGATCTTTTTCTTTTTTTTAAATGAAAGTAAACTTATTGTTGGCCAGAACCACATGGCATTTGAGGATATCACTTTGGAAATGAATGGCCGGGTTTCACTATTTTCTGACATTTGCTCAAAAATAAATAATATAAATTAAGATATATTTATCAGAAATGTGTGTGATGTAATGCATGATGTATTTTTTATATTGTGATGTACAATAAAGCAGAATAAAATAAATATTGTTTATATTCGGATATTAATTTCAGCCACGTCACCTCACACTTCTACATTGATTTGGGTTTTAAAAAAAAACCGCTATCACATATGACATGTGTTACTATGTTTTCAAACTTTGTTACTGAGGTTTATGTTCACGACACCTTAAAAACAGATGCTTTTGACAATCTGTAATCACGAAATGGGATTTCTATCACGGACCATCCGGTGTCACCGCCACTCGGCACCCAAAAAAGCATCAAGTGTCCACACTGAGCATCTCAGTCATCGCTACAGGGACCTTCTCAGCCTGTCACTGTTGACACTTGCTGTATGCATCATTGATACCCGCCCAGCAGCAGAAAATAAATAGCCTGCCGTCAGATCACTCCTGCTTGGCAATATCCCAATTATCTTGGCAATGTTTGTTGTTTTTTTTGTTGTTTTTTTACAGCAGACATTTGTTTTGTGTCTCTGTTTTGTTTGTTTATTCAGTCAGTTAGTTAAAATATTCCATTCTGAGCACAATTACAGTGAAACATCACTCAGTTCTCACCAACATCAAGTGCGCTGACTGTACGGCGTGATGTGAACCTTGTAAACAAACATGACATATTAAACAGGAAAATGAGTCACTCTTATTATCCCACCCAAATAAATCTGGAAAACACTAATTATAACAACCTGTGCATGATCCTGACTGATTCACCCCTGCTCTCTGGCTGTCTGTTATATGTATGTATGTATGTATGTATGTACGGTGTGTGTGTGTGTGTGTGTGTGTGTGTGTGTGTGTGTGCGTGCATGTCTGTCACATTCTTCTCCTGCTGTTGCCTTAATAGGCAGTCTCTTAGATATTCGCTACAGAATAGCGCTCATGCAATATTAATATCGCACCAAAATATGGGAGCCAGAGCCCCCACTCCATCTCTCACTCCCTCCATAATTGACTATGCAAGGCTCCAAATCAGCTTGGAAAAAGGAGAGAAAGATGCAGAGAGACAAAGCAGGAGAGAGAGAGAGAGAGAGAGAGAGAGAGAGAGAGAGAGAGAGTGAGTGAGTGAGCAAGAGCCATGTAGAAACCAAGGGAAACCGACAGAAAGAGAAAGAGATAGTCCTGAAACAATCCTGTCTTCTCTGCGCTATAGCAGATTCTGAACCTTTCCCGTAAGTATCAGTGTCAAAGCAGTGAAGCTAAAACAACAATAACAACAACTACAATGGTAGCTCTAACGGTTTGACTCCCTGCAAAGAATACGCTGATGCTTATCCAGCCTGAGCTAAAACAAAGCTCCACTCAAGCAGCTTTGAGAGATTGTTCAACACTAATTGCATTTCATTATTTCATTTAATTGTACTGATTCCCGGAGTTCCATTACGGCTGACAGTAAACCTTGAACACGTTACACCATGCATGCATGTAGGTAAACAGAATTTAGCTTCGTGGGTCATCTATTGCAAACTGACGCTGTGCTGCCAAACGCTGTTCAAACCCACAGAGTGTCATATTAAAGTGGATATCCTGAAGTGTCCAAAGATATCAAAATGTCAGGGTTATACAAGAGGAAATGGGTAAAAGCGATGCACAAGACACATTTCCATTTGATGAAATGGCACAGTTATACTTTAAGACTATAAAACAATGTGGAATAAGGAAGATATATTTTACAACTTTAACACACTTAAAGGTTACATGTGGTTTCACACTAATCTATAAGCAGCGGTAACATACCAAGAAATGCAGCAATGTGCCATCAAAGAGAAACTGTTATAGGGCACCTTTAAGTTGAAAACTGGATGTTAATGGTTAAAACTTGTAGACATGTGAAATTACAATTAGCAGCTCTTAAGGGAGTTAATGTATGTGAGTATGTAAGTATTGATCGTTGGTTGGTGGATTCACTCACTTAACACACATTCAACGGACACTTTACACTCTGCACTTGTGATTTGGAAGAGACTGATTCACATATGTAAGAAGAATTCATAGAAAACAAGAGCACACCTTCCCTTCAAAGTCACTAATACAATAACCCCCCCCCATTCATGAAGTTGCAGGACTTGCAAGATCTCTGCAGAGCACTGGGGTCAGGCCCTCTGCTCTGAGCATCTAAGAAAAAGAAAAAGAACTGTAGGCATTTAGAGCCATAATAGATGTTGAAAGAAAGCAAAGGAAAAGGTTGCGGGGGCAGAGCCAGTGGTTGGGGGGAGGGAGAGGTGGGCAGCGCACCTTGACAGGAAACATAGAGGTGAAAAGCAGGAGTTGGAGGTTAGTTTGACAGAGAGAAAAGAAGTGGTGGTGGTGGTGGGGGGGGGGGGATCGCTGCGGAAGTGCCAAGCCCACTTTTAACTGAACCGAGGGTGGTGAGTGGTGGTGGTGGGGGGAGGGAGACAGAGATAGAGATCAGGGGGAAATAAAAGGGGTGTGCAGGGGAAGGAAGAGGGGAGGAAGGAGAGGATGAGGGAGAGGAGTGGGGGGGTGCAGGGACCTACTGCACCTTGACACTTGCTCTCACCACAGCACCTGATAAGTGCAATGGAAAAACGTCTGGTTTCCTCCTGCATGTTAAGTGGTTTAAATTCTCCTCCTCTCCATGCAGCCTGTAGCTACATTCTGCTACTGTACCGACGCTACACCCAGGTAATAACAGACAAAAGGATACGACAGAAAGAAAACATTTATTGTCTCCTTTTCTATTGTGTTTAGTCTACTCTTTTATTGTGTTGATGAATTATAATCCGTGTGAGAGATGTAATCTTGCAAAAAACAAACTAGGCGATTTAGAAATCGTCCTTCCCTTGCATTACTGTTTATCCGTCCTTTTTAAACATGTCCCTCTTCTTTTCAAAAACAATTTCTGCATGGAGATTTAGATGCAGAGTTTTATTTGCTCAACAGAGGATCAGATGAAAGTGGATATATATCTTTACTACCTCGTGCATGTACTGACAAGGAACTCATTCCCATGATTTGTAAGTGGGTCTCTCTACAGAACAGCATTAACAATATTCACTTTAGATAACGTATGATTCCAGGCCCTCGGAGAGGATGGGTTTCTTAGAAATGCTTTGTTAGCACTCTCCCCCTTGATAAATGATTGAGGACAAGTGGCCTGAGACATCAATACAATCTCTGTTGTAATTAAAAAAAGGTGCGCACCAACAATATTACACAGCTTTCACTTTATCTGTCTCTCTCTCTCTCTCTCTCTCTCTCTCACTCCATCTCTGTCTCCCCCTCTCTCCCTCGCTCACCCACTCTTCCTCTCATTGAGCCCCGGAGCAGAGAAGAGATAATTCAAAAAGCACTTGCATGGAGTGAAACATGAAAAAGGGAGACATATGAAATTAAATTCTCTCTTTTCGCTCCATTGTTCTTTCATTTTCCCTCCTTTGTTACATAAATGCATAAAAGCAAGGCAAGCTAGATTCTAATTATGATTTTCACAATACTAAATGATTTTTTTTTTTTTTATTAAAAAATGAAAGAAAGGTGTCACAAACAAAGCAGACTTACTGTTCCAGCACTTTGTCAAAGTCAAAGTACTGCAAGTGCTGCATCACTAAACTTAAATAAACTCCTTTCCAAGCTTCCTTGCAAAACAATCCTCAAATAAAATTATTGAAAAAGTAGACTTTGATGGCGCAATACATCTGCTTTAATTCAAAGGAAGTAAAAAAAGGGGAAAATCGGCTAAATATTTAAATTTTCATACTTAATCAACATTTGGCCTTCCTTTATTTACAACCTAGAATAAGTCAGAAGTATTGTATCCAGAAAACTACTGCATGCCTTTGTTCTGTGGAAACACAAATAGAGTAGAAGGCAGTTGGTTGGCCTGCCACATCAGCTGCAGCAAAACCCTTCTGTTAGAAGCTACCAGGCAGATACCACACAAACCACCAAGTCAGATAGGTGCTTTCTCGGGAGCCTCGCGGTGGCCAGTGATGGTTTGAGAATGGGGCACCGAGCAGGTCTATCAGGGTGAGCGTGGAAAGAGTTCATGAGGTGAGACGTAGTGGGAGGAGGGGTTAAAGGATGAGGAAGAAGCCGTGGTAGTTGAGGAAGATGCCAAGTTTTAAAAAAAACGATGGCTTGTATTGTTTCCTGGCCATGATTTAAGTCCAGATATTGGTAATCGTCTTAAACAGTTGTTTCTACGGAGAAGCTTTCCATCACAGGATGAAGAACTTCCCTGCTGCTGTGAATCCAAGGGGAACACACCCACACACACACACAAAAAAAAAAATTCAACCCATAAAATGATGTCTGCACTGCTTCTGAACTGCCACTCCGATGCTGTGTTTGGACAGTCTTGTTGTGCAGATGAGGGAAGGCCTCTTCGGTGGCCTTCACTGTTTAGATAAGGGTATGTGTTTACATGTAGGTATGGATGAGACCTTAGGGGGAGGGAGCAGGGGTGAGGGGGGGGGGGGGGGTGGTTCTTACCCCAGTAGAGGGCAGTCTCTTGCCGTCAGGGTTTGGGCGCATGGGAAGGGAACTGTAGAGCCTCACACCTCGCTCTGCAGCACCGTATCTGCTCTGGAGGAGGAGAGACACACAGAGAGAGAAAGATTGTAATTATGATTCCTTGCTTTTTACAGAGAATTCAGCATGAAACGTTCAACACAAGAATAAAATAGAAGATCCAGATTTGAATTTAATTAGTTTCAAACTAGATTCAAAGTTTCTGAAGTTTTTTTTTTCCCATCAGAAGTGTATAGGGTTCATACACACTGCAGTTCCTTACATAGTCCTCATTTCGTTTTTTTATGAGTGCTGGTTTCATAAATTTCCGCCTAGTCGGAGAGCCTGCCCATTGGCCGCCGTGTTAAATCCCATCACTGCATGGTGATGTACCACACATAATAACTGGATAAGGTTGGCTCAGAAGCGGCACTAATGTAACTAAGCTGTTGTGTTCGGTAGCCAGAAGACCCTGTGCTCAGCTACACTGTACTCTACTGACTCCATCTTCCTATATAGATATAGATATATATATATATATATATATATATATATATGTTACTTAGATGATGATTAGAGTGTGCTGCCAGCTCCTCCCTGTTCTTGCCTATGTGGGTTTCAGCAACACAACCTGATGGAATGATGGTGGCAAAGCCCACAGTAGTTGGGAAGCTAATGATTCGCAACAAGTGGTCCCTGCCAGGGAGAGACAGTGCAGCTAGGTGTGGTTCACACCGTGGTCCACAGCCTCAGCGGTGATACATCCCAGGATTCACAGCTCCCCCTCCCTCCTTGTCTTCATCTCTCTCCTCGCTCAACTACCCACATCCTGCTGCACCTCTGTGATTCCTTGATATTCTGCGTTTCTTACATTAACATCTCTCTTCTGTAACATCTGGTCAACAGGCTGAACGCTGTTTCTCTCATTTGATTTGTTCAACAGGGGTTAATTGATAAAATAAGCTCCTTCCTTTTTTTCTCCTATGGTGTTTGAGAGTCTTTTTTAGCTTCTGTGCGCTGCCTGCTGTTAAAATAAATGCTGCAACCGGTGATGTGGAAACTGGTTTCTCATAAATAAGAGGATAAAACCTGAATGTATATTTGGTAATGGCTATGTACAGTGCGTAATGGCTTTGCCACACTTGATACATACAGTCTGCTAATGAGGATGTAGATTATTGGAAATCACACAACGCAGCAATCTAGAGCAAATATCACATTATCTCTCTCCGGTACTTAATCGTTTACTTGCTTTACCCTGTCTCGCCTTCTTCTCTTTTTAGCCTTCATTCTTTCACCTCATATCCACACAAAAACACCCAGGCACACATGTAATCACGCAGACACAAATACATTCAAGGGCAGGGCTTCAGATTGCAGTATTTTACTATATTTAACAATTGAGCGAGAAAACATCCCTGAACCAACCATAACTGGCCCTGCCTTTCACTTCTAGTCAGTCACATGTTGCGGGCGGACGCATGAGCGTAGCAGCAGGCCTCGGCTTTTATAGTGGAACCGCCATAAACGCACCTAGATTGCGTTTACAGGCCCAAATGCATCATGATTATACCATGCAGTGAAACCTGCAAGCAATGTAAGCAAACACGTATGTAATACACCACCTATGAGACATATTGGAGAAATAATCACAGGCTCAAAGAGCATGATTTATACCCCAGAAGAAGAGTTCTATGAGAACAGTATACAGTATGCTGATCTAATGGCCTATCACAGACAGCATACAGTGACAGGCTATCCCCTGAGGCAGTGCGAGTACTTGCTGTGTAAGATTTTGATTTCCTGTGCTCATTATGAAATATGAAAACAGATGAGTAGACAGCAGCGGCCATCCCGTCGATATGGCTCGCATAATGATGACACAGCGTTATTAAAGAGAACTCTCATTTACAACTTTCCTCTGTGCTGCACCGTCCTGACCAGGGATGCACCGATCGCACTTTGTCAGTCCCGAAACCGATACCTGGGCTTTGGGTATTGGCCGATACAGAGAACCTGTATGTATGCCTCACTGTGTGGAAGTGACTGGGATCATTCTTCAACGTGTAAGGCAACATGAGACTTTCCTAACTTTGTAAAACAAAACAAAACCACTTAATACATTTACCAAATTGCTATTTATCATTAAATAATAAGTGGTACACCAGCAACTTGGTAAAAATAAAATCTTCAAAATTTACAGGAATTACAAGTCATGTGTAAACCTTTTAAATGAAGCAACAAATTAGTCAAAACTTACACAAGTATTAAAATTCCAGTATATTATGAATATAATTGAATAGATCAGCCCACTTGTCACGATACCCTAAATAGCTATCCTAAAACCCACAAAAAAAATGACGTTTTTATTCAGTTATCCTATACTAAAAATGTACATTGATTTATGTATCCCAATGTAGGTATTAATGTGCTATTCATAGCTATTTTTAGGTCATAATCAGCAACATGACCCTGGAATGTTGGGCCTTCATCTTCTAGTCAGACATTTATTTTCCTTTCTACCTTCCAGAGGAGCTACTGTACACTAACTACATCCCTCAATGGAGACTTTTTCTTTTCGTGGCCTTTTAGATAGCTTGCCAGCATCGCAGCTAAATGAATGCCTCGCAGAATAGCTGCTTTAGCCAGCGAAGGACCGACAGTAAGTGAATGTTTGAGATTTCTCCAGTGTGCCAGGCTAATCTGGCCCTGTGGCATGCCATTACGGGGCTAATAACAGCTGTCTGCGGCCTGGAGGGGACACAAGCAGGCCTGGCTACGCTAACTGGCCCTGACAGACTCATTAGGAGTGCTGGCACCAAGAAAAGCAACAGCCAAACTCCTCACATTTCCTTGCTGGCTCACAACAGTTTGCAAGTGCAGAAGCATTGTTCTCTACACTTGTTCTCTAACACCTTTCTTCTGTTATGCTAGTCCTCAATTCAGACGCTCTAACCCCTGTCACCTCTCTTTCACTTTCTGGCTGGCTCTATGTTTCTGTGATATTTCTACCAAAACCAGATGCTGCCAGCTGTTTACCATCTCTGCTTTTTTTTTTTTTTTTTTTTTTTTTTTTTTTGATGCCGCACACCCACACTCTAGTTCTGACCAAAATAGAGCGGAAGGCAGAGCCACTTGTTTTTGCTCACGCTACTGCAATCCTCTCTGAGAAAAGTAAAAAGGTAATATAAATTAAAAAACGTGAATAAATGAGTCTGTAACTCACTCAAAGTTTCTAACTGACGTTGGTGTGCAGCCACAGGAAGATGCTGCACCGCACCAGGAAGAGGCTGGCATCCTCTGAACTTTGTATCAGTTACTGTAGCTGCCGGGCCCGTTCAGGGACAAGAGGGACTTCCCCAGGCAGACAGCAAAGCAAACATTGTCCTGTCGCTTGGCAGAGTGGAGCCAATCAGTACAAGCTGAGCGGGCAGACAATAAACACAGAGAGCCAATGACGGGCGTCTGGCTGTAGAACCACTAACAATGGGGGGAAGGGGAGGGGGGGTGCACAATTTGGGCTGTGATATGCTTTCACGCACGACTCCTGCCATGTGACTTTAGACTTCGATGCTCTCGTACAGATTGACATGATGCTGATTATACACTGACATACATGACAGCTTCAGATCGTCAATCATGTTGAAAAGGGGTATTCGCTAAGATAAGCTAAAATGTTGCATTTTTTTAACAGCATGAGAGATTGAAATGTCTACCACCACATTGTAAAATTGAGGCCAACTGATACTTATTATCGGCAAACATTGTCCAATTAGAAAAAAGATATTCGCAATATATATTTAACTGGCAGCATTTTTGCACATAAATTGCACATAAATGTTTGATTGATATCTTTGTATTTATAGTTATTTATAGTTATTCAACCACATATAAATACTCTCTCTTATAAAACAGAAAAGATTTAGATTCCACTGTAAATAATGTATGATTAAAAATAATCAAAGGAGAAGCAAAAAGAATAACAGCTGATGGATAATAGAGCCGGACAGATTTTAATGGATACTGAGAATAATAAAAGTCTGACGATATAATACACATTCATCATCTTTATTTTGCTCCAAATCAGCAGCCTGAAGCACAGTAGACGCCACGACACATCTACTCATTAGATATCGGCGTTGCCTTTTTATTGGCGGGGGCGGTGGGGCAGTGCAAAGCCAAAGGCACAGCTGTGGGGGTATAGTTACCTGTAACGTTAGCTGTTGCATGTTATATTATTTACGCAGATCTGGACTTAATGGAACACATGTGTGTCTCCAGCCGACATTCTTCCCAGATTAGCTGAAAGGCTCGGACACATCAGACTCCACCGATGAGAGGAATGCAAGGGCCTAGACCGGCTTATGAGGAAACCCTATCACTCATCTATAGCATACAGTAATGTACACACACACACACACACACACACACACACACACACAATCAGTTATACATTACGGAGACGGTGCTCCAAACTGTACAGTATGCACACAACAATGCATGCTCACTGACACCAGAAGATCAATAATACAAAACATTACTCTCATTCCAAATTCAGTCACTGCATTGTTAAATTCTGCTGCCTTTGGGCCTGTTCTTCCTGATATTTCAACTGGGAACATACATTATCCTGTCGGTTCTGGTATAAACATATTACATAATATCAGTGGGATTTCTGGCTGCGGTGGTCTGACAGTCAATAACAGAGTGTGAATCATTTTTTCAGTGGTTTTTGGAGACTTATGTCTGAGACAAAAAAACAACTGCTGTGTGCAACATTGGTTTGCATATTGCGATGAATCACCTTCCTTAATACGTTTTGCATTGAATGTGATACAATGTCATTTGAAGACAGATGATTCAGGTATTTTAAATATTTTCCATCGTGCTTTATAATAATAATAATAATACTTTCACATCCTTCTTAGCTTTAGATTTTAAATCATAAACTGAATTTCCAGCTCAGATCTGAAGGGTGTACAGTACTGTATGTACTACAATCATACTAGGATGCTGTAATGTAGAAGAAATGTGTTTGCTAAGCCAGTACTTGTGCGATATAGTGAGTCGATACA